ATCTTTGCTTTGCATAATACACTGAACTGTACAAAGTTGGAGGGTGCCCATGACATTGAAGACACACAATGCTGCACAGCTTCAATACTCCTGAGACAAATACCAGCTCCACTCCAATCAGAGTTGAACAGATGGATAAAAGTCACTGCGTTACAAACTACTTAACAGACATAGCAACTAAACCCTCACAAACACAAATGGACAAACAAGTTTTCTGTAGCAGTTTCTGAAGATCAACAGTTCATTACAAAAATAACTCGTAGATGCAAGGTCCAAATGATGATGTTTTAAAAATGTTCTTCATTAATCAATTGCACATCATTTTTAAGTCTAATTAAAAAGTTCAAGATAAAAAAAGCACAACTTTGTTTAAACTGAGTGTATGCTGTACTCCAAAAGGACAGTAAAAACACATTCATGTCAAAATTAACTGGACTTTTCAGAGAGCAAAACCACATCTATCAATTGTTGACATTTACTTTAAACACTTCTTAGTGACAAATGTTTGTTTCTTATTCCATTAAACAAGAAAGATGTGTAATCTATGCTGGGGAAAAAAAAAACCCAACAAAACCAAAACCCAAGGACAACGAACAAGAAAAAAGTTCCTTGTATTTTTAAACACAGGTTTCCTCCTGATCAAAGACACAGTGCCTCAGGAGAACACCACAAAAACATTAATTTCCATTACATTTACATTGTTTTCATCTACCAAAACCTTTCAGAAAACCAACTTCTATCCAAATTCTCAGATACTTGCACAGTAAAATGGTTTGTTTAGAAGTTTGACCAGTCATGCTATAACTCATGTTTGGTGGTTCCTTTCCTCCAGAAAACATTTCTGCTAAAACAGACACGTACATGTATTCAGAGAATAAGTGCTACAGAAAAGACTTCCAAAAACCACGGGAACAGCTGAGTACTTCAAACTTCTAAAAGCCATGCTTCCAAAAGAAACAGTTGCTATGAAAACACAAAGGTGTGCTCCTGATGTAAACCACTTGGCTGCATTTCTACCACAAGGCAGGAGTTACCTGTATAGCTTGGATGTTTCAAATGACAGAGAGAGAAAGAAAAAAGAATGGTTAACCAAACCTGAGATTTATTTAGGTAAGTGCACTGCGAGTACGAACAGTTTCGCAACTGGCAACGTAGTTCAATTTAATTAGAGGAGCTCTCCACAAGCTCTTCCAAATCAGAACTACTTAGCTAAGATTATAACGAAGATAATTATACAACAAGATCATCTCTGGTTTGAAACAAGGACTCTTGGTTAAAATGAGGACCTTTTTTAACATCATTAAGGTATTGTGTTAAAAAAACCGAGGGAATTTTTTTCCTAAGTCAGAATATAAAGAGACAGGTGATGATTAAGTCAAATACACCTTACAGACAACACTACAATTAACATTTTAGCATTGCTTGAGCAGTTTAAATGACCACACAGAGCAGCTTGGACACAGTTTTATTCGGTAGGTTGTATGTTTGCTGTTTTAAGACCCTTCTGCTTTTTCGCTTCTGCTGCAATGTGAGTTCAGTAGTGGGTCGCACCTGGGCTTCTTCATTCAGTACCTTGTTTCCATACAGTAAAAATATGTTTATATCTTTTTACTTAAGATTTAAATGAAGGCTCCTATCCAAATCTCTAGAAGCCGAAGATGCATTTAAACACTCAGAGCATCAGTAGCATTTAACTCTTCCACTGTTTCTAGAGGAAGATACCTTCTTAAAAGAGAAGTTTGATAAAACAGAATTTTGAGCTTTGATCTTACTATTAAACCATCATGCATTTGTAGAAAAGTTTTTTTACATCTAAAGCATGTGGTTATAAACTTACACTACTGTTTATACATCCACACCAACTGCTCTTCTCTAATTTCCCCAGAAGATCCACTTGGGCTGCAACGAAGTTAGAGTAGAAAAGACACACTCTAACATACACATTCTAAATTAGAACAGACTAATCACTTTTGACAGTTACTACTATCCATGGGGTAAAATTACAGGTTAAATGAAAAAACACTATTTCTTAGTTGGCTGAATAAGGATGCACTTGATATTTTCTATGCCAAAAATATGACATTAATAAAAATAGTAACTCATGCACTAATAAGCCTTACAGTCTATTTTAATTCAATTTTACACTGGTAATTTAATACTGACCAACTCTATTCTTGCTGGGTTTTCTCTTCAATTGTGCAAGATTACTGCATGAACAGCACTCTTAGAACTGCAGTCTAACGAATGGATCAGGTGTTGATATTTCTACTGTCCCCATGTGAAAGGACATTAATTATTCCAAAGTGAAATTTGGAAAAAATTGCACAAAAATTGCACAAAAATTAAGAGATTCAGTATCCCTAGATGCTTTCAGTTCATAAATACTACATCTTAAAATCAACATTTTGCAGACCATTAACTGCTTCTGTAAGATGGATGAGCATTTCCAGTTTTCTGAAAAGTAAAAGAACAAATCAAGTAACTGTTGCTCAAAGAAAAGAGGGAACAGGCCTTACTGCACATGGAAAAAGAGCAATATACAACTGAAGATGGAATAAAGTTAGAGTTCAGTAGGCAAACACTACCTCCCCCCGGCCTTATTCTAGACCATTACTGGAACCGGGAACCAGGCTCCATGCTTCTGGGTAATTATTTTTAAGGAATAGAAAGGCACTAACATTAATATTTTTTAAACTACCATGCATGATTAAATGCTCTTTGAACAGACAGCGAAGAGCAAACAAAGCCTTTCTATAAATCTATTAACTAAATTCTGAAAATATCCAGAGGTCAATGCCATATCCAAAGTCAGCTAAAGCCAAACTATAAACATGGTTTAGTTTTGCTTTCCGGACACAGGACGACAGATGGGAGTCATACTGAAAACCTGTTGTTTAGTCTCAGTGCGTACGGGCTGAAGTACACCATTCTCACCCTCTCGTATTTTACAATCAAATGAGATTCCTTTGAGCAACTCAGAATTCTTTCACAGACGATGAAAGCAAGCTGATGAGTGCTGTAACTTTTGCCTTTTACTACTGAAGAAAACAAGTCTGCACAACAGACCTATTATTCTTCATCAATTTATGAATAATTTAATTTCTGTGACACACTGCAGGCTCATTCACTTAGCATTCCTTCCGTGCAAACGGTCCCCTCTCATCTTTGTGAGGGCAAGAAGAGGTAGGTGTGGGGGATTACTAATCTGATTCTCAAAGCATTCATCAATCTCAGGGAGATTTGTAATGGATGAGTGTTCTAACAGTCTGAAGAAAATCAGATCCGAAGACATTAATGGATTACCTGTTTCTTCAAAATTTACACGTACAACAGTGGCAGAAAAGGCCAACTTCACATTGGTCTGTGCAAATCTGTGCCAAACAACCAAGTCCCAAAGAGCATTATACAACAAATACCCTCCTAATGTTACAAACTTAGTTCCTGGCGTAGATGATGCAGAGCTGTATGAAATATTAACATTCTCCACAAAGAGTACACTTTACATGTATTTTCATATCAAAATATCAGCACTATCTGTAATCTGATTTTTTTTTTTTTTTTTTTGAGAGAGAAAGAACAACTCCTCAGTCTCAGTCTCCTTTAATTCCCAATTGACCCAAAATGAAATACCCTTGGAAGCGACTCTGTCTCACAACATACGAAGAGGACAGAACATAAAAGCTCTTTACAATATGTGTACGTTTTAGGAGTATCCATAAAAGTTGAAGAATCCTAGGTTCACATACCTTAGAACAACATTTTCAGAAACAATCTCTGGTGCATGAGCCTTTTAGTAGACTGACTTCTAAAGTTTTCTAAGTATCAAAGTTTTAAAGCATCTCGTTCAATTGTTAGCCAGTTCTGAAATCTTTGAATGCACTCTTAAACACTCAGATTCAGGCTATCTTGAATTAATCTTTACCACTAATTGTATCCTAACCTGTTCACACTCAACATGCTTTTACCAATGGCAGGAGATCACACAGAAAAACCTGAATCACTCCTAAATTAGAGTCCTTCTGTTTCAATGTTAGAGACCAAAAGACAACACATTTACCTCTTAAGTGCAAACTTCGCACTTGCTCTGCTGCAATAATTTCCTGAGTAATTTATTCATCTCTGGGACATGAGTGTAAATATGAAGTACCACATCCAGAATAAAACTTCAGTAAATATTCAATAAATATGTTTTTTAAAGTAATTAGGAAAATTATTAAATTGAAGTCTAGGATTCAAATTACATTTGTATAAAAAATACTGATACTTTCAAACTAACCATAGAACATAATTTATCAGACGTTGTTTTCACCTAAAACTGACACTTATATCATCTTGTTTGTGATTAAAATATAGCAACTAACATTCATTTCAATATCTCCAACCACATAAAATACAATGTCTTTATAAGGTTCATCTAAAATTCTCAGATTTCACTACATTTGATTACAGTGTCCGAGACAAAGAATTTTCAGAAAAATCTGACACTACATACTATCCTGTTAACACTGGTTTTAATATTATTAAAATTGTTTACAGTTGCTAAAATAACTATTTTACATTCATAAGAATTACACAAGTGGACTGTCATAATAAGTTACAGGAGAAGATGGACTAGCAGATTTTATTTCCCAGAGAAGACATTTATTTTCCTGAAACAATATTTCATCTTGGTGACAGGAAATCCTGCGGGTTGCATGTGTTACTTTGAAGGGTTTAAAATATTAAGCTACACTGCTGTAGTGGGGCATACTTTTTAAATTCTACAAGTAATTTTAATTAGCTGTTCTGCCTGCAAAACTAGTAAAAACGAAGGGAAAACACCCCCAAAAACCAAAACCAACCAACCAAACGATTCATTCGCTCCTATCTGATGCTTGCTGTACTGCCTAACAGTTCAAGTTGTACCCATGATACGATCTCTGAAGCTTCCAGTTGAATCTTAGTTCATTCCACCACCACGTTTACTTTGCTCAAGTAGCCTTACAGTTAGGTCAGCGTACCTTCAGAGTTCAGCGTGATAAGCGTGACATTGTTCCCAATACTTTGGCTTCCTAATTGTCCGCTGTTGGAAACTGAGTCACTGGCCTCAGAGCCACTCTCTCCGTCTTCATTGTGACTGTCGTCATGCCCTGGAACTTTCACCACTATGGTGTTCTGCCTACGTCCAGGAACAGCACTATGGAAAAGAGAAGTAGGTAACTTTGGGAAAACACAATCCTTGATCAGAAATAGCATCATTATAAGGGAATTAAAAACACTAATTGACAAAATTAAATGTATTATAAAAGCACACTCCTTTAAACAAGTTGACTCATGTCTACAACTCAGGGCTGTTCAGCAAAATAAAATGGAAGGAAAATAGCAGAAGGAATAAAAAATTTTAGACGTACACTTTTTAAATTTGCATCAATGGAAAAGTCTAAGCTCAGTGTGCAAAACAAACAAATATTTAAATAGTTTCTAAAAAACATATTTTATTACATTTTCTATCCAGAATCTCAGGTTCCACTTAATTTAAAATTTGCTTTAGACAGTACAAATTCTGACAAGCCCTCCTGGGCTGCCGCTTATTTCTTCTTCAGTTGGTCAAATACAGGGACTTGGCATGTTCCCAAGTGATCATGCATCCGTGTAAAAAATATGTAGCTATGGGCACTCTTTCTTTCAACTGTCAGCTGTCAATTAATGTTGAACTAGTCCCAGATCCTCTAAGACGCTCTCTCCCCATCAAGAGTGAAGCATTGCTCTGTACCTTGACTGCTGAAACAAGGTTTCCTTAGGCAGAACTGTCAGCCTAATAAAATATTCAAGTACCGGTTCAATGTTTTCCCCCCCACACTATTACCTAGAGCATTCCTCATTTTGCACTTCAAATTGCTGCACAGACTGATATTGATCTATCAAAGGAGGGAAGAAAGGAGGACGATTCCCATAACTGCTACTAACTTGCTAAGGATATTTTCCAGAGAATCCGCCGTTCTGCTCAATGGCTCTTCCTGCCCAACCATCTTGGCTACAATTGAATTCTGCCGGTCGTTGTTCAGTATTACTGTGGTCTGAGGGACAACACTACGAGACAAAAATCAGAGAGGAAAATGGAATGTAAAGGAGTAAACCTTATAAATAATACATTAACACAGTCTTATGGTTTAAGTAGTCTACTTAAAAACAGACTGCCTCTAAGCCTAGCTCTTTCTCTCAGCATCGCTGTTATGTATCAAATGCTAAAGCTGGTAATCCATCTCATTTGACATCTGTACCATTTCAAGTACTCAAAATTCTTTCAGAGGACGGATGGCTTCCATGGAATTATATAAAAGTCCACAACCCTTGGCAAAGCGATAAAGAATTTATCAACTCAAGAGACACAGGAGGAGGTTTGTAAATCGCAGCTCCAAAGAGCCACCAAATTTTTGGTTTGAAAAGTCTGAGAGTGAGCATTTTCAGAGATACTATGGCCAACTTCCATGGTAATGCACCATTTTTTGTAAGATAATTCCTAGGGGAAAAAAAGAAATAAATGTAAAAGTATTGCAAAACTGGATGATGAGCTTAGTTAAAAGCATGTACTGTTTTGCAAGGCTGGGAGCTTCTGGAGGTCAGGGAGATGAGAGTGGTAGTGGGGGCATCAGAGCAGAATGGGGCAGATAAACTTTAAATTATGACAAGACTAAACTATTTCTTCTGTGCATACAAAAGAAAAAATCTCAAACAACCAATAGAAAAGCATTTAGTGTGGGGGAAACCAGAACGTCTTCTGTATCACTTACAATGTAGAAGGAAATAACAAGAGAAGTGTTGCACAGGAAAATGCACTAATATTTTTATTATTTTTAATAATAACAGTTTTAATATTTAAGACTGTTTCTGCTGTGCTCATGGTAAACTTGAGGAGACAACTTAGAAAAAAATTTTTGTTTTAGTGACAGAGAAGGTTTTCTTCATTCTCTCTGCTTCCAACAGTAAATAGTCCACTACTGTTTTTACTGGTCCAGCATCTCAAACATGACTGATGGTCATTTACTTTTCCTAACTGTATTCCTTGGCTAATTGTTGAAACACAAATTAAACAAGTCTGATGACAGCAATGCTGTGTTTATTTCAGCTGTAAGAAAGTGCCTGCTTGCTTGAATATTCATGCATCTACATAAGACTAAGCACTACAATATCCATCGTTAAGACCTACAGAAAAAATAAGAAACTGTCATAAGAGCTAACAATAAATAGATCTCAACTTTGGCACAGATAAAATGATTCACCACTGGGTTTTTGGAATCAAAAAGCCCCAGGGCCTAATGCCCTGCCTCCCTCTTACAGTAACTGCATCTGCTACTAGCAACAACTGGGATTCCTCCTGGACTGCCAATGATCTGTTGGATTGCAAACCTTGAGAGGTTCTGGAAGATGTTTGTCTAATCACAGACAAGTACAGACAGTAGTAGAGCTTTCCACGTGTAAGCAATAAATGGGGCGGGGGAGGGTGGTGTTGGGGTTTTTTAATCGCTCTCTAGAGTATAAGGGTTTACGATGCTTTCGTAGTCACCTTTTCAACATTTTCTCCATTATCAAGAGGGAGAACCTACACACATTTCTTAATCTAAAAAAAGACAACTTCTGTCTATTTTCTCAATGCCAGCACTGCACATTTTGAAAAACCACACCAAATACTTCATAAATACCGATCCATGGCAACGTTGGCAGTCCCCTCAGTCTAGCAGCAATACGTGTCCTTGTTATATTTCCCAAATTGTCCCAATAGTTACATTTGAAGTTTTTACATGCCAATTTAAAGTGTTCAAGAATTTTACACTTTCTTTTACATGCTGTTATCACCATCTTTTCTTGCAATCACTTCTGAATGCCTGTTTAAGCATCACTTACCAAAGCTTATTTTAATGAACACTCTGAATAATTAATTTCAGCTATAGAGATAAATACAATAAAATTACATTTATAAAATGCTTAGGATTTTGCTCATATGAAGTTTATATTTGAAAAAGAGACTTAGCACTAAAAATTGACATAAAATAAGGAAGAGGGTGGAGAGGGTTGCCCTCTTTTTTTTTTTAAATAATACTCATTTTTAAAGAAGACAATCTAGAGAGTGAGACGGATGGCACATAGCTAATTTAAACAAATTTGGATTAAGGAAATACTTTTATGCAACCCAGCAGTACAGATTTATCCCCTCCTCAATGCATCAATGCATGTTCAATCTTGCTTACTTCCATGCATTTTTTAAATTTTTTTCTTCCAAATTTATCCCTAAAACACCCATGAAAACATTGGCTCCACGAATTAACTTTTCCCAGTTAGTAGAGGGGATTATCAACAGAAAAAAAATCTACCTTCACAGTTGTTTTGGGGGGAGCCACTAACCAAACATACCATTTTCCTGACACGTATTTTTCTGGCCATACAGCACAAAGGCAAAACCAGATACCACATACACAAGAAAAATCTCTGTAACAAGCCACAGCAACTGACAAATTTTCCAATTGTAAAACAATTGTTGGACATGAACTGTCATCAAGTTGTAAGGACTCAAAGAATCTATAAAAGCAGTCTGGAGAGAAAAATCAAGGTCACACACAAAGCAGTGGTAGAGAACAGCTAAAATAAGCATTTGGAAATGTTCAACACAGCACAACAAACCTACAACCGCCACATAACTTTTCTGAGCAATTAACCTGCCTGAGTAAGAACTTTGCGCCTAGTTTGAAAATAACTGAATTAAGTTTATTGTCTATTACCAGTATTTATTACCAGAAATCATTACTGTTGGATAAAAGATTATTTCTGTGTTCTTTCTCCAGCAAAACTCACGCAATTTTTTTTCAATCTTAAAGGAGAAGGAATTTCTTGTGTTTAATGCATAACTCCTGAAGAATGATGCTTTCAAAAGCAGTCTGCATGAGGAGGATAAGGTAACCTTTCCATCCACAACACCATAAATGTTAACCAAGAAACTACAATTCTGGTCCTTGTTCTATGCGGAACAAGAACAGCTACAGAATTTGCTGAGAAATTCTGACAATGAGGCAGAAATTTTTCAGAGCTGATGCTGTGAAACCGGAGCAGTTACTTATCTGGAAGAAAAAGAAAATAATAAAAATACAAAAAAGTGCCATTATGCTTGAAAAGGAGTTTCACAGGATTGCCTTAGAATCCAATTTGTACACAGGAGAAACGGATATTCACAAGACTCCCTGCAGATACAGGAATGTGCTTACCAGTAACTTTCCTGTGAGATGCTCTATTCTCAGTTTTATTTATTTATGTTAGAGACAACAATAAGAAATCTGCTGAATGTACACAAAATAAACAAGGAATTCTATGTAAAGTCAAAATATTGGGCCAACCTGACAAAATTCATCAGAGGAAATCATTAAATCTCATTACAGCCTAGTGTATCCTCATACTGGATTCTTCTAATTTCTTTTTTTTCAGTCTGTACATCTCAGAGAAGATGAACCAATTTTAGTCATTACGGACGTACTAAAATGCAGAATACAAAAATCACAAAGAAGAAGGAAAGCTTCTGATATTCACTCAGATCCCAAATGAAACAACTCTTTGTGTGAGTGCTGCCAGTACTATAGTCACGAAGATGGAAAGAAAATATTAAGAAGGGTCAGGGGGAGGGCTTCAGTGTTGTTGCACAGGCTTCAGTACTTTCCATTTGTGTTCATATATTCCTTTCCCCATAAGCATTAGAACTTGGAGAGACTGGTTCTGCAATTTGCTTATTCTTGGACACAACTTAGTAAAAAATTTAAAATGCACGCAACCTACAGATATTATTATGTTTTGGGATTTTTTTTTTTAAATGCAGCTTACCAACTAATCTATTAAATGAGAGGTGAAAATATTTATAAAAACCATAAACATATCAGATAATGATTTTCAAGTGTGCATATTTAGCCTCTGCTGGGTTTTTCTAAATATAAAGCACATTCTATATTTTGCATAAGAAAATTGCTGCCAAAGGTAATTTTCAGTATGGAAAACGTGTGAGTCAGATATAATCATTAGTCTTAACTGTTGGGTTTTCATTGCCAATAACCCGTCAATCACACAGAAAGCAGCCAGTGACATAAAAGAACTTTTGGCAATACCAGGACCATCATCTCCTCCTCTTCCCAGATGAGGTTTTCATTTAGAAAGAGAAAAAAACAAAGTGAAAGGAACTAACTGACATTTCTACCTTCCACAAGGTACAAGATCAAAAAGTTTCTCCAAATGGATAAAAATTACTTGTGGAAAAACTCAGACTGAAATTTTCAGACAAGAAGTTATTCTTGTTTTCCTAGACACACTAATACAGAATAGTTAAGGGAATAGTTATAGCAGTGCTCAACCAGTTAAAGAAAAAAAAAAGAGGAGAGTCCTTTCTTTAGCCCATTTCTGAGCCTCCTTTGCACATGTGAACATCTGCAAATAGGTAAATAAGAACTCAGAGCTCAGCTTAAGAGACGTTCAGGTAGCCACATCCACATGAACTGCTGTTTCCTGTCTGTATAACACTTTGCGGTCACTACAACACCCACGCAGTGCATGCTGCTTATCTGGAAGGCAGGGCTTCTGAGGATCTCGTTCTCATCTTCCTCTGGCACACATATTAGAAGGAGATACAGAAAGAGGGATCAGAAAGGCAGGAGTTGGAGTTACTGCTGGCAGACTGCTTGTACTAAACGTCTCCAGACAAACACAGCCTTAAGGAAAGCAAGTCTGGGAAAGAGACCTTGAACTCTGATATTTTCCAGTTTAAGGCTGGGGACTGACCTGAAGACTGAAAGGTATAGCTCATGCATGTGTGGGGGCTCTGGAGGAATATTACAATTAGCCCTACCACAAAGAAAATTGTTTTCCAAATGATATAGAAAAAAAACATTTTAGAAGTGTGATGTTTTCCTTGCTTTTTTTTTTTTTCTTTTTTATCTTTCACTAACACTTGTGTTCATCTGTAAGAACAGCCATTCTTTGGGTCTTTTCATCACTATTTAGGAAGATAATGTTAAAACCCTCCTTCCTCTTGATGACCACTCACTTCCTTTGCCTTCTGCATA